TTATTATTATTATTATTATTATTATTATTATTATTATTATTATTATTATTATTATTATTATTATAAAACTCAGTAGTGTGATTGTGATGTGGTATTTAGGGCACTGTGCTGGAGTAGCTTTCAAATTTCATTGTATTCGTGGAATGCAATGACAATAGAGGTATTCTATTCTAATTCTAAAGAGAAACTGGGACTTCTAGGCAGGGACTTGTAGGCTCTACACACAATGTCTTAAAACCTGGAAGCCATTTGTAACCTAGCAGGGATGCCTTGATTGGTAACCCTCAAGACAGATGAAGAGGAGGCTTTGAAATGTGTTGGTTTAGCTCTTTGATTTCTGCTGCTAAAGAGTGATAGCTGGGAATATTTTTCATTCTTGCCCGCAGCTTATGAGAGCAGGATCAGTATGCCGGGTAGTAAAGCATGACTGTGACTTGCCTGAACTATGCACTGGCCAATCTGCTGAGTGTCCCATGGATCGCTTCCACATTAATGGACACCCATGCCAAAACAACCAAGGTTACTGCTACATGGGGAAGTGTCCTACCTTGGCGGACCAATGTATTGCTCTCTGGGGGCCAGGTAAGTCAACCTTAGGATTTTAGAATAGTGCTATTGCAAAACAACAACAACCAAAATATCCTAAGGCAATCATTTGTATTGATCAAAGACATTTTCTCCTTACTATCCATAACAAAGCTTTTCATTTCTGTTCTATTTGTGTTTTGTTCATAATCTTTCAAGATGAAATTTTTTTTTGGAGGTTTTAATGCTCAGCCCTCCAGATCTTTTGCTTTAAACCTCCAAATATCACCAGAGAACCTGGCCTAATCGCTGAAGATGATAGCAACTGTAGACCAAAAATTTGAAAAGAAAGATCTCTGTGTGTGTGTGTGTGTGTGTGTGTGTGTGTGCGCGCACACCTGCACACACGCACATGCACACACACCATAAATAGATTGTTAGTTTTTGTATATTGTAGCAACAGCTCAAAACTATTCTGCAATACTCTTTGTCTTAAATCAATCGGTGTTGTGAAGCAAGCCAATACGACTGGAAAAGCACAAACAATAACATCAACTGTCATATGCTTAGAATTTTATCCATTTAGCTTGTTCTTCAAAGACTTAATTAGGGCCACTGATTGACCCATCCCTTATCATTGTTCTGAATTAGAGACAATGGAAATTGAAAATGGGACTGTCTGCTAAGAATATTTATACCTGGTGACTGAACTTTTCTTTACCTTTGGCATAATAATGAAAGAAACAGGTGTTGAGGGATGTGATTCTTGTCACTCTCTTGTAGAACATAGAACAGAATTGGAAGAGACCTTGGAGGTCTTCTAGTCCAACCCTCTGATCAACTAGAAGACCCTATATCATTCTGGACAAAGAGTTGTCTGATCTCATCTTGAAAACCTCCAGTGATTGAGCACCTACAAACTTTTGGAGGCAAGCTATTCCAGTGGTTAATTCTTCCCACTGTCAGGAAATTTCTCCTTAATTCTAGGTTGGATCTCTTGATAAGGTTCCATCCATTACTTCTTGTCTTGCCCACAGGTATCTTGTCTATGACAGCCCCTCAAATATTGGAAGATTGCTATCATGTCACCCCTAATTCTTCATATCTAGTTCCCACCGCCATTCATTGTATAATTAAGCCTCCAGACCTCTTATCATTTTTACTGATCTTCTCTGCACTTTTTTCTATGGTTTCAACAACTTTTTTTCTATCACGTTGATGAAAACTGGATCTAGTATTCCAAGTGTGGTCTTACCAGTGCAGTCCATTTATTTAGACCATAAATGGAACCTTACTCTTTTATTTCCATTGCTTTCAAAATAGAAACGTTCAGTTCAAACAAAGAAATCTTTATTTTGGTCAGTAAATCGCATGAAATTATGTAATGTTCCAAAGAATGGTAATATTTCAATATTTTGCAAGTAATCTAGCTATATTCAAAAAGGCTTATGCCCAGGGATTGACATGTGTCAAACTGAGAATGATACATGATGATTCTTACAAGCTGAGTTCTTTAGTGTTTCATATTATGGACAAAATCCTGTCAGACTAAGGTCTTCACTAACTCAATCTACAATATACTCTTTGGGAGGAGGTGTCTCCACCATCTTTCTCTCACACATGATATCCAGGCAGACTTGCCTGCCTCCCTCTTACTCCTCTGGAACTCAGCCCCCCTCCACCGCTCTTGCCTCCTGGGATTCCATCTCTTCACTACATTCCAGCACAGAAATATATCTATGAGAGTGATGAAGTTAAAAAAAAATGGGGATATAGTGGAAGGAATCTGGATTCAGATTTCTCAACATTGATTTACCAGGTAGTCTTCTGCAAGTTGGATAAGAGTTGTGTTTATAAAATGAAATAAGCAAGTTTATTGAAACACTGTATGAGGTAGCAAATGCTTCATAATGAGGATGAGATAAGTAATGGGTTACAAAATAATCGGTTACAAAGAAGTGGACATTAGCTAAATTATTTGGAACTCCTCTGAGATGTCTTAAGCCATTCTTCATCCTGGCATGTTACCCACTCAAGTATTTATGTTTCTTCCTCATTCTCTCTTACAGGTGGGAAAGTGGCTGCAGATTCATGTTTTAAGAAAAACCAGCAAGGGAATTATTACGGCCACTGCAAAAACGCAAATGGTATAACCATTTCATGTAAACCAAAGTAAGCAGTCTAAATTATTTCCTACTACAGCACTAGCACTTAGACTTATATACTGCTTCACAGTGCTTCACAGCCCTCTCTAAGCGATTTACAGAGGCAGCATATTGCCCCCAACAATCTAGGTCCTCATTTACTAAGATGATGATATATGTAAGAAATACTTTCATCTGTGGGGACATGATTCTATCACCTCACTAAAATCAACAGAAATGTGAATCAATTTCTGAATGGCTAATTTTGTTTTTTGTTTGAGTTACAAGATGGAGCAAAAGTGGGATATAAAAAGAGGCCATGAGAGCTTTTAAAGTACCCTTTAGCCAAATCAATTTGATAAATTATTAGAGGATACAAAATCAATTTCAAAAATGTATAATTACTTATTAGAGTTTGAGATGGCAGAGGAATTAGAGAAGGGCTTGATGATAGCATGGGCAAGAAATGTGGGACACAACATTGATTTGGAGGACTGGGAAAGAATATGGGAAAAGAATTATATGATAATGAAATCGGCGGTATATAAAGAGAATCAATATAAAATGTGTTATCAGTGGTATCTGGCCCCTTTGAGATTAGCCAATATGTACCCCAATTTAAGCCCAATCTGCTGGAAATGCAAGCAGACACAGGGCACCTTCTTCCACGTATGGTGGCTCTGCCCCAAAATTAAGAAATATTGGATAAAAATACAAACATGGATAAAAGAAATTACCACCTTTCAAATAGAACTTAAAACAGATTTTTTTTTTTTACTGGGGATAATAAAAGGAGACTACACAAAAGAGATAAAATATTTAATTTTGCATATAATCATTGCAGCGAGACTAGCACTCGCACAGTGTTGGAAAGGAGACCTCATGCCCACAGAGAGTTTACTAATCCAAAAAATCTACGATTGCGCTGAAATGGATAAACTTACTCTAAAATTAAAAGAAAAGGAAGACTCAAGGTATTATACAGTCTGGGAAAACTGGTACAAATGGATAAATGATAGAAATCAGCAAGTAAATAAATAAGGAAGAAATACTTTAAAGAGGTTAATATATGAGAAATAACCAGGAATGTGAAATATGTATTAGAACAACGTTTAGTATATAAGCACCGATTTGTATTTTAAAAAGTGTTTTTTGTTTTCAATTCAGCAACCATTCACAGTTACAACACTGAAAGTGACTTACAATGGGTTGTAACCAACTGGGTGCTGTCCAGTTGCTGGGTAGGCGTAGCCATGGTGAGCATGGCCTACCAGTACTTCTGGTAGGGCTGTTTTTCACCTTCCCAAGGGACCGGAGGCCTCCCTCAGGCCTCTGGGAGGATGAAAACGGCCTCCCACAGGCTCTGCAGGCCCTCCGGAAGCCAGAAACAGGCCCATTTCATGACTTCCGGTACTTCTGGGAAGCCATTTTTTTTGCCTTCTCAAGGGTCTGGAAGCTTCCCTCTGGCCTCTGGAAGGTCGAAAACAGCCTCCCTTGGGATATGGAGACCCTCTGGAAGCTGGAAACAGGTGCATTTCATGAATTCTGGTACTTCTGGAAGGCCCATTTTTCTCCCCCCAGAGCCTCCACATGGACTCTGGACTTACCTGCATTGAAAATGGGCCACATGGAGACTCCTGGGAGGAGAGGGGGGGCAGGGCCAGCTGGTCAGTTCATAAACTGGTTCAGCAAACCAGATACAAATTTAACATCCAGTTCACCCGAACTGGTCCGAACCGGTAGAATCCCACCCCTGCTTCTAACATCCCTATAGTCATGTGATCAAAATTCTGGTGCTTGGTAATCAGCATGTATTTTCCATGGTTGCAGTGTCCCAGGATCACATAACCGCCATTTTCCATCTTCTCAGCCATCTTCCAACAATCAAAGTCAATGGAGGAAATTGGATTTATTTAACAATGGTGAATTCATTTAGCAACCATGGCAGATAGATTATAAAATTGGGTGCAGCTCACTTAAGAACTGCTTTGTTTAGCAATGGAAATTCTGGACCCAGTTGTGGTCCTACGTCAAGGACTACCGCACAATCAGCATTTCTCTCCAGCTGACACCACCTAGCAGAGCTTGTTTGCAATGTTTTTGAATAAGCCCTGGTTGGCTGAGTTTCTGAATTGCACTTAGTATATAAACACAATTTAAAAACCCACAATGGCTAGATTTGCACCACAGGTTGAACCCAAAACAAACGATAAGCCACAATATCTTTTAGTGATGTGAGATTCTGCTTTTTAGACAGTTTAGACCCCATACCATTTTTTCCTACTAAAACAAGGGCAGTCCTTATTTCAATCTTTAATTTCCCTTTTTCATATTTTTCTTAAATTGAAATGGAATAATGGCCATTTTTCAGGGCAATTTCTCCCTCTGATATTTAATGCCGCTGCCCCAACCTTTAGATTTCAACTCACATCATCTTCTGTCATCTGCTAATCAGAGATTATTTTAAGGCTAAAGGTCTGGAAAAATCAAGCCTGCTTTAGGAGTTTTCCAGGTGGATAACAGGTACTGTACATTATCTGCTCTAAAGATAAGAATTGTGACTCAAACTACCTTCTCCCTCAAAAACAGGGAAACCATTAGAGATGCAAAAACTGTGTTTCTCTATCCTCCCCCCAAACAAACAAACCTAGAAACACTTCTTGAGATTTTTTTTTTACTTATCTTTTAAATGCAGTCAAGTTCATTTTGAGGCTGAGCAAACCTCTGATTGTCCAGCTCTACTTTAAAATCACGTTAATCCAAGAACAATTTATGTTTGCAAATGAGCAAAGGGACATTAATCCATTCTTGTTCGTTAAAACGAATTGGTTATTTCCTTTTCAGTGCGGTAAAATGTGGCAGGCTATATTGCACAGGTGGTTCAAAGATGCCCTCAGATGGAAACCTGCTGGAATTTCTATCATGTAGAGCCAGCTTTCCACCCAAAGATGCAGAAGATGTTGGAATGGTTCATCCTGGAACAAAATGCGGAGAAGGAATGGTTAGTAAAAGATTACATCTCAACTGTATGCTGTCAGGGGTAATCAGTGAAATAATTTAGCAATCGATCTTGGTGAAAGCTGATTTACATTTTGCATACTACAGTTAATCTATGTAGAAGAAAATCCATCTAGCCTTCTTCTTGTTTATATTGTTTTGTTTTTCCTGCAGGCAGCAACCACAACAAATCAGCAATAGAAATAGCACTTAGACTTATATATTGCCCCATAGTGCTTTAAGCACTTTCTGGGCAGTTTAGAATGCCCCCAACAATCTGGGTCTGCATTTAACTGACTTTGGAAGAATGGAAGATTGAGTTAATCTTGAGTCCCATCAGGATCTAATTCCAGGCTATAGGCGGAGTTAGCTTGCAATACTGCATTCTAGTCACTGCACCACCAAGGTTTTTCAGGTGAATGCCCAGGGTGTTTCTTTCTTCTAAGAACAAAATGCCCGGCCTTTTCAGAGCCTTGTGCTTCTCCCTGGCATCAATTTCTGGACAGAAAGTCAAGGGACAGTCCTTTCTCTTAACTTGTAGGTATCCCCGTAGGGCAGGTGGAAGAGAGTTGAAAAAATCAGGTGTAGAACTGGTTGTGACCTAAAGGATATCAATTCAGTGAAGCCATTTAGAAGTGCTGAAGCAATCTTAAAGCTTATCTTAAAGGATCAGGAATTGCACACACACACGCACACACACACACATCCCTGTCTTTATATACAATATAGAACTTGGATGAAATTTGTTGAATATCCTGGTTTTGTTCTAGAGAATAACAGAGTTTAGTTGTGTATGAAACTGTTGTCTTATTCTATTCATAATCTCTTCCTTTGACTTTTAGGTCTGCAACAACGGGCAGTGTGTTGAGATAGAAACTGCCTACAGATCGACCAACTGTTCACACAAATGCATCGGACACTCTGTAAGCATTTTGTATTCTATATTCTGGTTAAAGTATTCTCCATGCCCTTTAGTGGGCTTTAAAACTGTTCTGCTTTGGGCTTGGCCTATATAAAACTTACAGGTAACCCTCAATTTACAACAGTTCATTTAGTGACCGTTCAAAACTACAACGGGATTGAAAAAAGTAACTTATGACTGTTGTTCACACTTACGACTGTTACACCATCCCTCTGGTCATGTGATTAAAATTCAGATGCTTGGCAATTGGTTCATATTTATGACCGTTGCAGTGTCCTGGGGTCATGTGACTACCTTCTGCACCCTTCTGACAAAGTCAATGGGGAAGCCAATTCACTTAACAACCGTGTTACTAACTTAACGCTTTCAGTGATTCACTTAACAACAGTGGCAAGAAAAGTTGTGAAATGGGGCAAAACTTACTTAACAAACATTTCGCTTAACAACAGAAATGCTGGGCTGAATTGTGGACATAAGTTGAGAACTATCTGGAATGTGTTCAGCACATATACTTGGGGATTTCACATTTTTCCCCACAGTATTCTCTGCAAATCTGAAGCATCTGCAAAATATTCATTAGAGTGTGTTTGTAAATGTTCTTATGATGATATTGACATCTATATCTAAATAGGTTTTGCTGTACTAAAAAAGAAAATGAATATTATTATGATTATAATTTTACCACTAACATCTATATAGTAACTTTGAAAGTAAAATCCATCATGAAAATAATTTTCATTGAAGGCAGAAATGGAACTAAATGAAAAATGGTTTTGTTGGGCAGAGAGCAAGTTGACGGTTAGGTAAAACTTTATTATACATGCATAATTTACATAATTTCCCTTTTATTATTTTCTTTTTTCTGTGGTATTGTCCTCTTTTTTTCTTTGTTCTATGTTATTAAACAAATAAACACCACCCACCTACCCCCCAAAAAGTGCTTTCCAGAATCCTTGATGTTAAAAATATTTCAGTTTTTTTCTCTAAGTGTGAGTAGAACTTAGAAAGACATGAACCCCTGTATTTACCAAGCCCAGAATAGTTTATGGCTTTAAAGTCTAAATTACATTAAATTGAGCTTTAAAATTAACAGGTAGCAATGGAATTAGATCAAAACCTGGTGTCATGTTAAAATAGTCAAATATTAATAAATCAAATGAGAATGCCCCCTCTCCCATGGCCTATAAGAAGTTATGAAGATCTGGCACTTCCAGTTTTTGAGGACTAAAGGTGGAGTCAACCAATCCCAAAATTAAAATTTAGTATTGAATTATTTTGTTCTACCTTGTCATTTTTGAATTAACATCAGTGTGCTATTTTAATTTTGGTGCACTTTGATAGAGTCTGAATGGAATGGGGCAGTAAACAAACTTGATGGATGGATCTTGATGGATGGATCTATGGATGGATGGATGGATGGATGGATGGATGGAAAGAAGGGAGGGAGGGAGGAAGAGAGAGAGGGAGAGGGAGGGTTGAAAACTATTTACTCTAAATTAATATTTTCCTGATATCGTTGTCCACCACAAAAAATCTCAAAGCTTGATTTAGTCCTTTTCATCCTGCTGTAGAAATGCTTTGACCACAACTCTCATAATATCAAAAAAAGAAACACTTTGTCCACACTGTACTGTTGTTAGACTTAGTCTAATAACTCAGTGGACCACTAGATTAAAAAATAGTGACCAGCTATTTAGATGGCCTTTGGTACTTATTTAAACAATCCCAACAGCTTTGGTAGAAATCCTTAATTTATTTTTCTGTGTGGGATTTAAATGGATTTCCATCTTTTTGTCTGCCTAATTTGGTTCAGTTTTATGGTTCAGTTTTATGGTTCAGTTTATGGTTCAGTACTTTCTGCCTTCTTTGGGCTTCATAAAAATGCAAGAGAAATGTTGACTGCTTTTTCCCCCCTTGTATTTGTTTCAAAGATTAATACTGGTCTTTGCTATCCTAGGTATGTGACCATGAACTGCAGTGCCAGTGTAAAGAAGGATCAACACCGCCTCACTGTGACACCACAGGAAATAAATGTGAGTTAATTCAGGGGATGTCATAATAACATTTGCTACTCCACCTGCAAATGCTAATACTGGACGTTTGGGAGGTCTTTCTTTTCTCAGTATATTTTATAGCAAATGCACCACAGTATGACATCTTCATCAGAAAACAGGAAATGGTGGATGGAACTCTTTTTAGCTGGTACCAATAAATAGGTCAGAGGTAGGATATGTTTTTAAAAACAGGCATATTGGTAGCTGCAAGAGTGTAACTGAAGCTTGGCCTCCTTTCATGGGCACCATAACATCGATACAAGTGGGCGGAGCTTCAATCTTACCATCATAACCACCAATTTATATTTTTCACTACCACCTGTGGGCATCCCTCAATGTAGCAATGCTCAACCTTCCTGGCTCTGTGGACCGGCAGCAGTGGCAACAGAGTGGGGGAGGGGAAGGGGATGGTTTTGCGGAAGGACCCGCTGCTTGTACAGCTTTGTGTGTTTACCCACCACTTGTGTGGTCTAATTCCCAATGAGCCACGGACCAGTACTAGTCTGCAGACTGGAAGTTGGGTACCTCTGCTCTAATGGATATCCCTCTTCTCTCATCTCCTGAACATTTTTTATTGTGGATAAAATATATAGGGAGAAAATCCATCTGATCATTACATTTTAAGGATCTATTTATTATTTTTATGAAGATTAGTGATATGCCTTAGTAAGACCACACCTAAAATAATTCTTCCAGTTTTGGTCATCACACTGTAAAAAAGGATGTTGAGACTCTAGAAAGAGTGCAGAGAAGAGCAACAAAGATGGTTAGGGGACTGGAGATTAAAACATGTGAAGAATGGGTACAGGAACCGGGCATGGCTAGTCTAGTGAAAAGAAGGACCAGGGGAGACATGATAGCAGTGTTCCAATATTTGAGGGGCTGCCACAAAGAGGAGGGGGTCAACCTGTTTTTCAAAGCACCTTAAGGCCAGACAAGGAATAATGGATGGAAACTGACCAAGGAGAGATTCAACCTAAAATAAAGAGGAATTTTATACAGTGAAAATAATCAACCAATGGAACAGCTTGCCTTCAGAAGTTGTGGGACCTTCATCACTGGAGGCTTTCCAGAAGAGACTGGACCACCATCTGTCAGAAATGGTGTAGGGTCTCCTGCATGGGCGGTGGGTTTGGACTAGATGACCTACAAGGTCCCTTCCAACTCTGTTAATCTGTTAAATCTGTTAAATGCCATTATGACCTTTCCATAAATGATAAATCAGTTACTCTATGAGTTATTCCATTTTATTACAAAAATAATTGTATTTGTCATTTCTTTACCCAAAGCAATTCCCTTGTATTCCTTTTTCTGATTTTCGATAGTTACCACTTAAGTAATTTTCATTAGTTCCATATTGTAAGTAATAAAGAATTATCTCTAAAATGGTTTAGCCTCAGTTCATATATTAGAAAACATCCACATGAATTTTGGACTAAATTATTGCATGGAAATGGGGATTAATTTGACTTTTAGACAAGTTAAACAATCCTTATTGGAAATAGGGTTTGATATCTCCTTGTATTATTATCTAGCAACTGAATATTGTTAACTATTAGCAAACTATACTTTAATTGGAAGTTCTATTTTTAATCTCATTGTGCACATGAAATGAAAAGAAGGGAAAAATAAGTTTAAGCCTTTCTGTAATTCATTTAACAAGGATAACAAGATTGTGATTAATCTTAAGCTACCTTATAGTGAAAATCCAAGTATAGATTTAACAGATGATAGTTTGCTTTCTTAATTATGCTGCTACATCCATTTACAAGACTATCTTGGGAGGTCAGTTAGATCTTCTTTGAACCAGAATTATTAATCAATAAGGAAACTGTAATCCTAATGTATCTAAAGGTCATGGAGTTGAGTTAGATTAATTTTAAAGGATGATGATTAGTTGAAGTCATTCATGAAATGAGGTTTATTGCATATTACTTGTTTTCTTAGGCTAAATTTGATGCCCAGAGTTGGTTCAGAGTTGGGTAGCACTTAAATTAAAATAATTGAATAAATAAATACATTCTAGACAATTCTCAACAGTGGCTCTTAGGAAAAATTCTTACTGCATGGGTGAGAAATGCCAGGGCTTGGAGCAATATAATTTTCAACGGATTGTCTCTATGTTTCCACTGTGATTTAATCAAATCTATTCATAGCCTTTTCTCTTTATCTTTTAGATATAATCATCATTGTTGTAACTGTGATACTAGTCTCAGTAGCCACGGCCATCCTCCTTGCAGTTCTCTTCTGCCGCTACGTTTTAAAGAAGAAACAAAGGGACAGGTGAAGCTTTTGAATGTTCTCAGCCAAGCTTCTTTTAAGTGTGGGGAGTTTGCTGAGTCCCATAAAACAGCAGTAGTGGGTTTTCCTGAATTAATGGAGAGGCTGAATGTATACTGACTTGGAAAAAGCTGTATAAAACTGGATATTCAGTTCAGGAAATCTCTCATGAAGTTACGAGATGTTGACTGAATTATAGTATGAACTGAATTATAGTGTATGTATAGAATAAGTTCTAGGATATCAGGTAACTAGTTACCTTAACAGGAAGGAAGGAAGGAAGGAAGGAAGGAAGGAAGGAAGGAAGGAAGGAAGGAAGGAAGGAAGGAAGGAAGGGAGACATTTACTGTATTTCTAGTGTTACCTTGACTTTGGTGTTGGGTTCAGAATCCTATCCTAACTATAATATTCTATTATTTTATGGCAGCATTCACAAAAGTGCACCTGTAGCCAAAAATCCTTTCTCTGGTACAGATCAAAAGAGGAAACAGCATCTTGGTCCAGTGTTCAATGATCCAGAGGTGAGAGGTCAAATGGGCTGCCTGGGCAGAGTAGAACACTTAAATTTTATAAAATACTTTATCCATTGGCTTCATAATAGGTCATAAGAAGAATGGTTCCCCAGCGGCAATTTAAGGAATTGGGGTACCTGGGTGAATTTAGAGGCTCTTTACCCCATGCACAATGCCTAGAGAAAGAAACAAGATTTTGAAACTGCTAAATGTGGGTGCTTTTCATCAACACACAGACAAAATGCTTGCCTTTTTATTCGTTATATATAGAGAGAAACATGTTATTGCTTATATTGCTTTGATTGTAAGATAACGTCAATCAATCTGTTATCTTTCAAGATGCAACACAACTCTTTCTTGTTTTCAAAAACAAAAATAACACAATTGCTATAAATACTGAACCTATTGTTTGCAAAATAAGTTCAATAGAATGTGTTTGTAAAGAAAGCAACACAAAATAATTAAGGTTAACCTTAATGAAATTACATATGTATGAAAGTGCACCTGATCTGGCTAAGTATTTAAAGATATTGGCTTTAAAACCAATATACTCAAAAAGTCTGGCTGTTTCTTCCTTTTAGATAAATTCTTCTAGATTTCTCCTGCCAATTTCATTGCAAGGAAATACACCAGAAGTTCATGTTGTGAGTAAAATTCAATGGAACATTTCTTGCATAGTCTTTAACAAACAAAATACAGATATTTCACAAATCAAATCAAATATGCTGTGCTTTGTCAGTGGTGTGAATGTACACACTACATTGAGTCAAGTAAGTGTTATTTTATTTCAGGTTAGCATGTTGTATGAATCAGAATATTGTAGTTGATCAATCATGGTTTATGGTTTAATGTAAACTAAGTATTGTGGCTCATACAATATTTTATGATTAGAACAAGATAGCTTATTGTAATATATGAATATAGTTACTTGACAAATGTGAAGGATTTTAAATAAATGTGAAAAAATTCTCCCTAATTTATTAATGTTCATTCGGCTGCAATACCCATTGTACTCAATGCTCTTCTTTATGAGCAGATATAGAGAGAATGTAATTGTACTTTAGAAAAATTGATATGCATATAAGATTTTTTTTTCAAACTTAGCAATTTTAAGATCTAGAATGTTGCAAATGAAAAACAAATAATCTGCACACTTTTTAACCTGACAGTTGAAAAATCCATATTATAGTCTGAAACATAATAAGCAGTTTCTGATTATTTTAATTATTATTTCCTTTCTGCACTCTAAATCCTTGAACAGAGTAGGGATGACCTGCATAATTTGCAATGTTATAGGAACATTATGATTCTATCATAAGGGAGTTCTACAAAATTAGGGAGTTCACACACATTGTTAGAAAAATCAACTGATTAAATTGATACTATTTCATTATTAACAGAAAATCCCAGATGAACCTTTACGACACACATATGAAAATGCCAGAATGGTAAGTTTTTAAATAAATGGTCATTTGATCTAACAACTTCAGAATACTGTTAGATATTTCCTCTGATTCTACTAGTTCCCTGACAATTTCCCCCTCTTTTTGGAGTGTCATGCCTCATTCTGTGTAGCCTATAGAAGAGTGAAAATCTTATGGGATGAGTATTTTTGAAGACAAGAAATCAACTGTTCTTCATCTATAAACACTGATATGGAGTATTATGCTTAAATTTCCCAAACTGTCCATTAATGTAGTATTTTCTGCAGTGCATTTCCAACAGAGGTCTTTTCATAAACTGGTAACAAATCAATTGGAGATGCAAATTGTTGAATTATGTCAATTATCCAATAACATTCTAATTCTGTTCTGAATTAGGCAAATTTCAAGAAAATAACCAATGACAAGTCAATCATTATGAATGAAGTATATCAATACCCAAAGGGATATATGTGGCCAGAGGGCATTTAGGTGATTTCATGGCAAGTAATACATCTCTTGACCAGTTTTTGTTGTAACAACACTGCCAAGGATAAACAGAATAGGACAGTCCAGGGGCTAAAATAGTTTAAGGCATTCCTGGGCTGTATTAATGGAAGCATCGTGCCCAGATGAAATGGTTCCATTGAATTCTGGCTGGTTAAATCTTGTTTGCTGAACATATTAGGTCCAGTTTTGAGCACCATACTTTAAAAACACCATGAAGAGTGTTGCAAAGATTGAGTGATATATAGAAAATCAGTCTGAAGGACTTGTCAGCCCAACAAATTAGAAACCAATGACATATATTGTAAGTTAAGACTATCTTTATTGCAATAGAGTGTGAGCGTGTCTGAGTGTGTTTTCTCCTTCCTGATTTTATCTTCATGTGAAAGAGTGAGGAACTTATCCAAGATGTTTTCTTAAGTCATTATCACACTGTGAAGAAAGAGGACCATAGGTTAAGTTCCAATTAAGCTGATTTATTGCTCATGCCTATACACAAGAATCTAGTCAACTTACAGTCAGCACTAAATTGGCACTAGATGTGATGACCCGGGGCATGGCACAAAGGCAACACAGTCAGATAATCTTTATTAGCTCTAACTTTGCCCCCAATGTCCAAGTTACCTTCTGCCTGGAAAAGAACTCTCCCAGGAACAGCCTTTGGCTGCAGAGAATCAAGTCCAAAATATGGTCAACAAAAACTGTAACTATAAGTCCAATCAAGGCAAAATGAGGTAATTAGTCTGGCAGGGCAGGAGTAAGAATTCCAGATGTGAAGGCACGACAATAATTCAACCCTGTTGGGAGGATGACAGGAGCACAGATAATCAAAGTCGCACTCAGAATTTTCTGTTAGAGCTTTCCTCAAAGAACCATGGAAATTTTTTGCTTTGTGAGAATGCTGAGAATTTTGAGTTCATACAATTGCACATTTGGTGGGGAAAGGGAATAAGGATTAATTTTTGTTGCAGATAGAAGACTCAAATTTTAAGCTGACAGGAAATGTGATCTCCAATAGATGTTGAAAGCACTTTTTAAAATGCATCTTGGCAATTGTGTGCAAAGGCAACTCAAAAAACCTTCCAATTTTCTTTCCTTTCAGCCTATTGTGAAACCAAAAATCCCTCCGCCTCCTGTTCCAACAGCAAAATCCACCATATATCCAGCTCTGGTATGTCAGCTTCCTAAACATCACACTTCAAACTCATTTTGTTCCTTTATAGCAGGATGCTAGGGTGAGGTTTTGGGATAATAACTCCTTCCAGCCACCTTTTCATTTTTCCAGACTACTGGATGAAAAATAAGGCAAAGAACTGTAATGGGAGAAAGACTTCAACTGATGGATTATTGGTGGGGATTTTGTTTTAATGGGCCTGACCCTCCAGGTCTTGTGTAGTAATTCAGTCCTTTCTTCCTAATGCCAAGAAAGGCATAAAGCCTTTGGAATGTTGCATATCAGGTCTAGGTCTGATGCTTTTGTAAAGGGAGGTTGAATTGTCACTAATATATTGAATTGCATTATGACCTTATTCTTGAATCTGCAACTACCTAGGACAATTAATCTATGATAGTAACTGTAGGAGAAGAGCAGAGAGTTTGTGAGGGGGGGCACAGTTAAATGAGATTAATGTCAGGCATAAAGAAACAGGATCATTCATAAAGTTGGAGCATAGAAGATTTATTCAAGCCTATACACAAGAATCTAGTCAATTAATGGTCAACACTAAATTGGCACAAGATAAGGGTCAATAAAATTGAAGGGTGTCTAAACTTGGGTCTCTTGTGACAATGCATAGACTCTAAACTGATAAAGCATTTAACTCCACCCTCCAATTCTGCTCTTGTTCTTTTGTACAGTAACAGAGTGATGGCATTCCCATGCAAGCTTTGTCCAAACTCTAGTTTTAATGGAAAAAGTTTGGAACGTGTTCCGCTATTAAAATACTCCCTTCCTTCATGTAAAAAGGGGCCCAAAAATATACACTCTCTAGATTTTATCCTTGAAAGTTCCTTTTTCAAATAAACTTCTCATAAGCAAACTGAAGCCATCCAATATTAGTGCAAAATTTGTAACCCTTCATCATAATTGCCTTTCAAACAGTGAATTCCACTCTTTGTAACCAGCTAAGTTGCTTTAAACACATATTCTTGGATTACAAAGTTTCTTGCAAATAAATTATCCAAGAATGGTGCTAGAAACATGGGCATTAGGCAGAAGCTGGCTCATTTCTTGAAATGTTATATATCTGTACTCCTAATGCTGTTTTTTTGTTTTGTTTGTTTTTTGGTACAACCAAACCCAAGTTTTAGATCAGGAGTGCACCAAGGGTTAACTGGAGATTTAAAATGTCCTTCCAGAATCAATGTTGCAATTGCAAAATTCTATTCAGAATGTCCTGGAGCAAAATACTTGGCCCTCTTTCATTTGGGGGTGAGGAGGATAGCTGGGCAATATTAAGAAACAAAATTGGTACTTAAGCTCTCTATTTTATCCATAAAATAAAATTCTAAATCCAACCCCACAAAATGACTCTTTATTAGTTCAATTTTCGAATACGATCCTCAAGTTTCTATACAAACCTGGTGCAGGCAAGAGTAATTTGATGTAAACATTTCTTTGTGTCTAATTTGTTTACTTGTTAGAGTTATACACTATTGAATCAACCAAGGACTCTTGGTTATTTGCAAATGTCAGTTTAGCAATAATATACTCAACATATACTAAATGGCTGGTTAATATTTAACATAAATAATCTGGTATTTCTCTTACAGGGAATAAATCCAGCTCCTTCTTCTCAACTTGAGTCTAAACCAGCTCCTCCCCCACCTCCACCCCAGGTGAGAAGCAAGTATTCTATGAAAATACAAAAATGATAAAGATGTTAAAAGAGTTATGACTTTTTAACTGGTAGAGGTAGAAAGATCGAGAGGCTATACTTTGTTCTCATGTGACAAGATTACATTTGGGTGGAAAAGTGCCATTATAGTGCCATTATAGCAACATATGATCTTTGATACATGGATTATTGACAAGAATGGTATGAAGAAATTCTGCCATCTAAGCTAACATTTCCAAGGTCAAATAATTTAGTTTAGAGCCTTTGTGGGATGAAGAAGTTATCTGTGGACAAATGGAACTAGGTACACTAGTTCTTTGTTTGGCTGTTAATTCCTAAAATAAAGCACCCTGGAGACTTGGATGGATGGGTGCATATTTGGGTATAACTTCTCCCAGTGATTCCCTCTCCCCCAAAGCATGGTCATCGACTTGATCAGTCTGAAGCTATCATAATCAATAAACATACAGTATATTTTTTCAGAAAAAAAAATCAAAAGAACAAAAGCAAACCTTATTTTGGATAGGGAAAATTTGTCTTCTTTACCTATCTATTGTGGCACAGTGGTTCGGGGGTTAAGATGCTGGGCTTATTGGCTGGAAAGCTGGCAGCCCAGGTTTGAGATCGAAGTGCCATGTGATGAGGTGAGATCTCATCCTTGGCCAGCTCCTGCCAACCTAGCAGTTTAAATGCATGCCAATACAAGTAGATAAATAGGGTTAGGGTCAGGGTACTCTTGCTCACTTACTGGCACAATGACCTTGAAACAGAATTGAGCACCTCCCCCTATAGTTGGCAATGACTAGTGGAGTAAAATCTGCAGGACTCCTGCAGGACTCCTACCTGTTTATTGCTTCCTTCCCTATTCCGCTCTGGTTTGCTTTCCACCTTTAGGACTGATGACTTGAATCAATGTATAATGCTTTGCTTTCAGTCATTTGATTTCAATATCTGTTTGCTATTGTTTGCAGGCAATGAAACCCACTAAATAATCTCAGGGTATGAAACAAAACAAGAATCAGAAATAATACCAAGTCTCTGATTTCAAAGAAAACCTTTTCCATTTTCTCAGTTTCCATATCTGCATAGGACAACTGAATGGTGACTTCCTTCCACAAGTCTAATGCTTCCTCTGCTGCAGGAAATGTCTTTTTAATTTTGGGGACAGCATCACCTTTAGTAAGGATGGGAACTGATAGGAAATCTTCAGCATTCTTCCATTATATCCTTGGATATCAAATGGGGAGATCCTAGCAGAGTTGGGATGATTTTGTGAATTGTGAACTGAGCCAAAAGATGCATAGAAGCAAATGATGCCTCCATCTGAGATTTAAACACCCATCACCACCATTTGTGGACAAATCAAAACTAAAGAAACATTTGTTGATGCTTGATGCAAGTGGAAACCAAAGCTGTCCTGCCTACTGAATTAATCACTTTATTATCTTGGAGTACAAAATGACTGAGTCCTGCATGATGCCACCAGATTCTTTGGCATAAGCGAAGGCTGATCTCTTTGAAACCTTCTCTCTACCTGTGCAAACAAAGAAGCAAAGATGAGACTTGGGAACTTCAGTGCCTATTGTTTGTTGCTCAAGGACTTTTCAAGGTACAATTGTATCAGCTCTGCCAACTTTTTTCACCAGACTCTGCTCCTATTCCCTAAGGCTACATGTGACCTTTGGTTTAATTTCAATAGCCATTGGCAAGTGGCCCTTTCAGGCTTCTAGTAGAGATACTTAATCCTTTTGGGGTATTGCTTGAGAGAAAAGGAATACTTAAAAAAAAACCAAGAGAGATAAGAAAGTAAAATTCCTAGTGTTTTTTGGTCAGCCTTGACCAATTTACCTAGGACATTTGCAGCCGAGTCATCAGGATAGTGGCTCTGATCATGCAATTGAAGCTCCCCCCTTTTTAACATATGTGTGTTAAAAGAGCAGGGCATTTATGGCATGGCTGCAGCTTTCATCTCGACTTTTTGACTTCCCTCCCTATGGATACCCCTGAATATAACCAGTATAACTAAAGGAGTTATTCTGGTTATACTAACTGAGTATAACTAAAGGACCAACTGGAATCTGCAATGGGTTTTCATGCTGTCAAAAGCTTTCTTCTGATTCTTGCAGATCAACCTTGTCATAAAGGGAAAGAGTAATAAACCATCTGCAGAAAAAGAACCAACCAAGGACCCAATAGTTAAACATTGAGCTGCATATATTCATGATTATTTTAAAAGGAAAGGGACAGAGACAGAGATAGAGACAGACCTGAAGATCTGATAACTCTAAATGGTAGAAGGAATTCATAATTAGCATTTGAATAGGCTGAGATCTCCTTGGAGGTCATTGTAAGTACTTTCTTTTTGTTACATTACAATAAAAAAGACATTTAAATATAATCCTTTCAAGGATAATATTTTCATTAAGCAGCCAAGTAGTTCATGGTTAAATGATGGGAAAGGTTAGGAGGCAGGATTGCATAAAGCGATACAATGTTCTTCTTCTTTTTTTTAATGTGCTACTGTTTGAAAAAGCCAAATGCGAAACTAAGGGAGATATCGGGATAAGTGCAATAGCAGCCAATAGATTTAATGTGATTGGGGGAGAGGGGCGGGGGGAGAGGTCAAGGAACAGAACCAAATGTATGTAATTTTGTTGATTTTTTTTTTTTTTTTGGTATTTTTTAGTTGTGTTTTAGGTAAGGCTGCTTCTGAAATCCTCCACATCTAAAATTCTTTCTGAGTTTGTAAGGTTTTAAACGGCTGATCCTGTCTGTGATTTTCCATTGTATTTTTGTGTCGAAGAGGAAGTTGCACTGTTTGCTCAGTTTTTACTCCATTCATGTTTCTTCCCCCTCCCTTCTTCATTTTGCACATGAAAAAAAATCACTGCCAAAAAAAAAAAAAAAAAAAGCAAACTTGATACACTTGTCCAGATCCACATGACTTTATAGGTTGTTTTGCCTGTTGCAAGAAATACCCAGAACGGGAAGGAATTATGATGCACCTTCTCTGGGCTGCTGCTTTGCAGTGCTTTTTTACTGTCCATTTTGCTCAACAGGAGGTACAAAGGCATCAAAGAAACTGAGGCAACCTGTACATGTTTAGGAAATGTCAGCTGAATTAGAATTTGAGAGGAATGACATGGAGAGCAGCCTTGACTGCTGCAGCTGGTGACTTACATTTGTCAGTACACGTACGGGATTTCTGACACACTACAAAGAAACAGAAGCTGAGAAAAATAACATCCTCTAAATGAATCAAAGACGGAGTGCGCATATTTCTCAGTCTAAGTTGGGTATACCTTGCAAGTATGAAAGACATGACCAGGACAGCATTGGAATTTTCAGCTTGAAGGCAGTTGGGTCAATTTGCCAATCAGAATAACATAGTTGGAAGTGACCTTGGAGGTCTTCTAGTCGAAACCCCTGCTCAGGCAAGAAACCATATACCATTCCAGACAAATAGTTGTCTAATCTCTTCTTAAAAACTTCCAATGTTTGAGCACTCACAACTTTTGGAAGTAAGTCCTTCCACTATGTAACTTTTCTCATCGTCAGGAAATTTCTCTTAGTTCTAGATTGGCTCTCTCCTTGGTTAATTTCCATCCATTGCGTCTTGTCCTACTTTCAGGCGCATTGGAGAATAAATTGACCCTCTCTTCTTTGTGGCAGTCCCTTAAATAATGGAATACTGCTATTATATCACCCAGTCCTTCTTTTCATTACATCTGAATCAGATCCAGACCAGAATTTGAAAGTCAAAAAACCCTGAACTGTTTAATTGAATCAGGTACTTGCAAAATGAACTGAAAATGTAAAAAGCTTCTGCATATATAAAAAGTCCCCTTTTCCCCATTAATTCAGAAAAAAAAGTGTAATTGATTTTCTAAATTGAATTGAAATTAGATTTCAAAGTGTTTCCAAAATAACCTTCGGTTCTGAATAAGCATCTCATGTTCAGTCAAAGAAAGTTATGTCATCTTCAGAAAGACAACAGTCAATTAGAATTACAACTTACAAGCAATTACAATTACAATTAATTACAATTAGAATTCCATACTGTAAATAGCTTTCTAAGTTGGTGCCTTCAAATGGTCAGACAGATAGATTTGACAGTCTTAGAATTTTCTAAGCAGCATAATCATTGGTCAAGATATAACAAGGCATGAAGAGGTATGCACTTGGCATGAAAGCCAACATTGCCTGATGAACAAAGAAACGTGGGCATTTGTGAAGTGCATGGGATATTGTTCTCCACTGCATGTCCTCTGCACCAGAAATAGCCCAGTGTGACATGTGGAAATCACCATAAAATGTGCCTTATCTGTACTGATTGTACCTGTTCCATCCCTTCTCTTTGAATGGCATTATCTTATTCTAGAGGAAGTATGGACAGTCTCTTTAAGTATGTTATATTTTAAAAAAATGAATTGGAATTATGCAAGGTTGCAAAATCTTAAAAGATTTCAACTTTTTACATGTTCTTATATATGAATGCCAAAACTTTGCATGCTCTCATTATTTCATTGTAGAACACTGACATCTTGTGGATTTTGGAACACATCTAGGATTTTGGCTGTTTTAATAGATTTAAATATATTGCTTTTTAATTTTAGGTTTCTGTGTATACATAAATTACATGTAGGAAATCTCAGGTTCAATTTTGGAGTCAGATATAAATAATCATTTCTGTTAGGAGAGAGGGAGCATATAGACTGTCTGGGTGACAGTTGTCAACAACCTACTCTTTCCTGTATATAAATTTAGCAAGATTGATCACTAGATCAGAAGAGGAAGGGGTATTTGCATTTGCTTGAATTTAAATAAAGGATAGTCCTCAATTTACAATGGCAACTGAGACCAAAATTTCCATCGCTGAGTGGTGTGATAATAAAGCAAAGCTGTACAAGAAGTGCTGGTTGGGAAGGGAATTCCAAATACGTCATAACCCGCCCCCCCCACATTCAGAATCACTGTAATTTCAAATTGCTGAAAGAATAATTGTACATTGAGGATTACTACAGACTTATCCATGAGATTGGATTTTCTAGTCTATACGGATTAGAATATTAGTGTTCATTAGTATATATCGCACATGCGTGTCATCTTCAGAACTGAGGTTTTTTAGTGGGAAAAACAGTGTGTTGGAGAAAAAGAATAGTTGCAGGTGAAAAGTAGGATTCTAATTCTCTTCTTAGCCTCTGCTATTCCCTTATAGTTTTTCCTCCAGGCCTATAGGACTGTTAGAAGCAAATTTGCAAATTGTTAGTTTGATCAAAACTCTCAAGTTAAAATGCAGATCAACTGCATTGAAATTTGCCTTGCAATTTCTCAACTGTTTGACTACTGTAAATAAAGATGTTCTTCTGTCTTCTTTTCAGAATGCTTATGGGTTTCTTTCAAACTTGCCTGGTTTGGAATTTTTGAGCTTATTTTATTGTTATTGGCAGTTATTGGCAGTGGGGGCTTCTCTTAAATCTTTCTCTTACATATCTTCCCACCCTAATCTGGAAAACTCAAGGAATTTTTTCCTTGAGGTCTCTGGTAGTGTTTTTTTTTTCCTTTGCACACTTTTATGTCTAATTAAATTGTGATTTAAAATATTATGTTATCTGTAAAATATGTATTTGGAACAATAGCTCTATTTAAAATATATTTAAATAAAACTGCTTATAAAAATAAATATGACCATGTCTTTCTTATTAAGATGCAAATGTTTGTGATCTGTCCCCTTTGGTGGGCTTATCATCCTCCAGGACTGACAAGAACCAGGCCAGCCTGGAACCAGATTCTCCAAGGTTCATCTTAGTTGCAGGGAAGCTCATGTTTCCCAAAGTGCCTTCAACCATTATAGTTCCCTTTGTTTCTGCTCCTCAACACCCTGCCTGTTGCAGTGCTACCTTTCCTTCATGTAGAAACAATGCATTTATTCTCTAGTAAATGGTATTAAAAAGAGGTCAACTCTTGGACACAACTCTACAGTTTTCATGGGAGCAGGCCAGAAGTGTCCTCCTCCTCCTCCTCCTCCTCCTCCTCCTCCTCCCACCTCCTCCTCCAAGCTTCTTGCAATAACCTCCTTTCATGATGAAAATCCTTTGAGGGCTTCCCAATTAGCCAAGGTTCTGGAAAAATATAAAAGACCATTTGAAGATAAAGAAAACTCAGGCTATAAGAAAGAATTGGAGGAATTTAATTCCAGCAGCAAAATGTATGAACTCCATTTGGATTTGGCATTTAATCCATTGGTGCCTTAAAGACAGATGTTGTAGTCCTAACACCACAAATACCTGCAGGAAACTGGGAAGATCACTTCTGTGTCAGGGATTCTGAGGTAATCTCAGATGGGATCCCCTCTCATAGTGACCCCAGGACTGGGAGGTTAGGGCACTAGCTTTATTCTGCATAGAACAGAAGCTATCAACAAAGTATCAGAAAACCAGAGTTTTAACATTTGCCTAATATGTGTGTGTGGGAGGGGGGGAGCCCTGGAGTTTCGACTGAGGGAAGAAGAGGCAGAGAAAGGGGTGGGGGGCTTCTGTCAGGTTTTGGTGAGAAGACTTTTGAGGAGAGAGAGTTGAGGGAGGAAGAAACATTTTATCAGTGTATAAAATACAAAGAAAAATAAGAATAGGAAATTAAGGGAAGAAAAAAAGAGAGGGGGAAAGAAAAATATGAGGTACAAAGGAAGAAAGAAAAAGGCATTGACTTCTGACTCTTTTTAGCACAGTACAAGATAACAACATTATGGCCTTTTTAGTTGTATACATTGGAATATAACTAGCCATTTCTGTAACAACTAATGTATCTAATCAGCATAACCAAAGTCAAAGTTTCATATATATTTTTCCACCACAAGCACAACATCCAGAAGTGATATCCAAATCAAAAACATAATTAAATATATTCTTCTCTTTGAATCAATCAATTTAACCATTTCTGCTTCATCTTCCTTGCTTTGCAAATAATATGTATTTCTATTTGCACTTAATAATCTTTATCAACTATCATCATTTATATTAACAAGATTCACTGTATTCTTTCAGATTATTTAACCTTAAAGGGAAAAATACTTCTTTGTCAACCATTTTAAAACCCTAAGCTTTTCTTTAAAAACATTCCTAAAATCAAAACATTCTAATAGATCTTTTTTAAAAACTTCCTCTTCACATACATAGGCTTTAAAGTTCACTTTCAGACCATTAAAATTCCAATTAGCTCCGATTAACTCATTAAATTTAGATCACTCCAAGTTACCCTCATAGAACAATTCTGTCAAGTTTTGGGTGGGAAGGTTTTTGAGGGGAGAGTTGAATGGATTTTGAGTGGAATCCCGAAAGGTGAAGGGGACATTTTATCGCAGACAAGATTAGAAATGGAAGAGTTAGAAATTTTAGTTAGATTAGTCTTGGAGCTTCCACTGAGGGAGGAAGGAGTAGAGAAAGTGGAGGTGAGCTGACAAGGCGAGTGGGCAAGCCAGTGACCAGAGGGGCAACAGATACCCCAGAGGAAGCAGAGGTGACCTGAGCTGGGCCACTGGACATGACTGGGCGAAAGATCAGAGTGGACTTATGTCCAGAACGATGGACATTGAGACACCTGGTGAGTGACTGTGTAGTGGGAAAGAGCCCCGGTACGTATAGAAAAGGGGCTAGGGGAATCCCGACTCTAGTGGCCCTCCCAGGCTGATGCTACACTGTCATAATATTGCTACACTATCATAATATTCATAGATAGTAAGCAAATGGGACTCAAGTTAAGCTGGTGTGCACTTATAAATATCTTAGAGTTTAATTTCATGCTTCTCTGTCCTGGGATGCTCATTTATATCACTGGGAAAGCGTTGCACATGGTACCTCCTCAGATATTGTAACTTTTACAGACTGAGCCATTATAATTCCGCAGCTTGCGGGGTTTTCTAAACTAAGGTATTCAGCTACTCTATAGCTCCCAAATTTGCTCTTTTTCAAAGCTTAATTTTCTCAAAACCATTCAAAATAAGTATAAAGCCACACCAATGATTTCAAAATGTATCCAAAATGCCACCTTATGTATAGTGATAGCTATAGAGTTGTTGGATGCTAGAACGTGGTTTCTTCTTACTGGCTTTTAGAACCCCCACCCTCACTCCTACTCTTCTCCTGATGGCTGCTCCTCTAGGTATTTTTCAAATCAGCCCTACTTAGCTTTCAAGCCATGTTAAGATTATCTGAGTTAAAGAGATAGCCAAATTGGAATTAAGGAGAAATTTTGTGACAGTGAGAACAATTAATCAGTGAGATGGCTTGACCCCAAAAGCTGTGGGTGCTCCATCTCTGGAGGTTTTCAAGAAAAGACTGGACATTCATTTGTCCAGGATGCTATAAAGCTTCTTGTCTTGGCCAGGGGGTTGGACTAGAGGATCTCCAAGGTCCCTTCCAGGCCTATATTAATGACAAAATAGTTAATAGGAAGAAGAAGAATGAAAAAAGACAAAATTAAAGTTTCAAATCTCTCTGTTAACAAACTGGTGTAATTGAATTGTAAAAGGTTTGCCAAGGCATCCTATCTATCTCTCCCAAAAGTTAAAAATAATTTGCCCTGAGTCAAATATCCACACTTTTTTCTTAACGCCATCTTTGAACTTCTGTTGTTGAATTAAATATAATGGTTCAGTCTCCACTCTGGGTATATCTTCCCAACAAAATCCAAACAGAAGTGATTTACAGTTAGGTGTTATAAATCTGTTCCCCCATCTTCCACAGTCTTCATAGAAAAAAAGAATTTGTCACTTTCCCATTCAGTCAAACCCATAATATCATAAGGAAATGTAGGCTTAAACTTCAAAGAGGCACATTGGCTCAATTCAGTTGTCTGGATGTGGAGATATCTCTTGGTCTGCAACTTTCAATGCAGAGTCTTATTATCTATTTTCATCCAAAAATACATACCTCTGCATATTTTCTACAGCCATTATCAACTCATTAAACTTTTTTTTAAAAAATGTTCATGGTGGGGTGGTTAAGAATAGATATTAGAGGAGCTGGCTTTCCGAAGTCTCTTTCTATTTTATTATTTTATTTTATTTTATTATTTTATTTATTTCATTATATATTATTTTATTTATTTTATTATTTATTTTATTATTATTTATGAGCTGCCCATCTTGTCCAGAGATGATTTTGGGAAGCTTATGAACATTAAAACTAGTACATATTAAAATAAGAAAAGGGAAAAAATAACAGCAGTAATATTAGAATCAAATTCTTTATTGGCCAAGTGTGATTGGACACACAAGGAATTTGTCTCCAGTGCATAAGCTCTCAGTGTACATAAAAGCTATAAGTGATAAATTATCATGGTCATCATAAAAATACATTTATCATAAATCATAAGATACAACATTTAGTGATAATCATAGGATACTAAATAAGCAAGATAA